CACTTGGGCTTCAAAGCAAAGCAAAACGCAGAGCTTCTGGATGCCAAAATCGCTTCCCGGGGTGCACGGAAATCTACCGGCACCCCTCAAGAAGCCTCTCCCGGTGGAGTGCTGCGTTCACAGCGGTTGGCGGTACAACCGAGATGCGCCCCTCCCCCCCGATGTCAGGTAGCCCTGTCATAGATCTGGAATGTGGAGGGGTACCCCCCCTTTCGTTCCCAGCTGTCTCCTGCTCAGCTACTGTGCGCTATCTTATGCTTGGCCTTGTAGACGTTCCAGCTGCACTTTCCACGGCTGGGAAAGTTAACGGCTTTTTTGCTTTGCCCGCTTGCCTTGCCGTGCACACGGAACATATCTATTGGCTTATGCTTCCAGGGGGGGATGTTTGATTTTACTATAAGTCAGAGGCCCTATTACTGCCGGCCATTCCTGACACAAGCTGTACACGTGTTCTTTAGTACTGGAAACACTAATAAACAGTTCTCTTCTTATGAAGCCCTGTGTGGTGTGACCTGACTAAGGAGCCTGACACCCCCCCTTCAGTCCCAGGAGCAGGCTGTGGCCTATCTGGAGGAGGAGGCGGCAGCGGCAGTGGTGAGAAAAAAGGGACCCACGGAAGCAGCCCGGAAAGCACAAGGGGAGCCGGGCGTTAGAACGGCTGCTGGTTTTCAGGACTGCTTCTGCTTAGCACCCCTGCTGTTTAGGACTGGGCGATGCGCCCTCTAAGCTGTGGAGTCCTGTCAGCAAAAATTCTACTTTGTGAGCTGCTGGCATTAAAGTTGTGAGCGAGCGATTGGGCTGCTGCATAAATTGGTTTGCTCTGGGGCCATCCTTCCTGAGCGAAGGCAAAAATGGGTGAGCCTAAAAAACTGTGAGCCAGCTCACACTGACTCAGCTGAGAGGGAACACTGCTGCCGAATCTACTAGCTGTCCTGAGTTGTAATTCTTAAATTCTGGTTTGTATGTTTTTAATGTCTTTTACTGCCTGCATGTTCCATCTCTGTTTGTAAGCCTTCTTGGGCTCCACAATGGAAGAAAGGCGGCTAACAAACGCTGTCAACAAAGAAGCGATTTTTTGCCAGGAAGTAGGAGGTGGCCAAGGCCACGCAGCGCCTCCAGCCAGGCCCTTCAACACTCCTGCTGCTCTCTCCCGACTCACCTAGCGGGGTCTCATCCAAGACAGACTTCCCGTTAAGATCTGCTCCGTGGGCCACCAACAGCTCCACCAGATGGATCTGCCGGGGAGAGGGGAAAGAGGTTTCAGCAAAGCAAGGAGGATGCAGTGAGGAGAGAACTGCCCTGCCGGATCAGCCTGCCGGACCGCCTCCCTCGCCCGAGCCCTGCCGCAGCACCCTCACGGCAATGAATGGGGTGGGATGGGGGCAGGGGTCATTTCGTAGAAAAAGAAGTGCAGGAGCTCTTTAGCATAACTTATTTGCATATGCCACCCCCCCCCTAACATCACTGGAAGTGTGTCAGAAGGCAACACCCACCACTCAGGCTCCCCTGGACTGTTTTGGATTGCTAGCTAAGTGGGGGGATGGACATGCAGATCTGTGCAGATCTGTCCTCGCAGAGGAGGGAGAGCTTGTACCTGAATAAAACTTGGTCTTAAAGGTGCCACTGGACTGTTTTGAGCCGGGGGGGGGCTCTGCAGCTTACCTGGCTGCTTCTTGCTGTGACTGAGGGCTGCTGGGAGCAGGGGGCGGGGCTTGTTGCATGTGCCCGCCCCCCGGGCTCCTTACTGCTGGAGCTCCACTCCTGTGCGCTCCTGCAGGAAATGACCCCTGGCTGTGTGAAGGGATGCTGGAGAGGGTGGACCCAAGGTCTGATCCAACAGGGCCCTCCTGATGTGCTCCGTTTGCTCCACCCTTACCGATAGGACTGGGAGACACCTCCCCAACCCCCCCAACCCCCGTGTCGGGCTGCTCCAGAAGAGCTGCACAATACCTGACACACATGCTTCCACTTCCACGCTGCCGCCACCACAGCCCCTTCCGGGCACGGCGTCCCTAATTGCCCTCTTTACTGCTGGCCGCATTAGGAAGCCTTTTGCTAGGCTCTTTGCGGAACTGAGCAGGGGGTCATAAGGACCATCTGGTCTCTCGACAAATCCAGATTAGCGGGATGATTGAGCAGATCATACCCTGGGAAGCCGGGAGGGCCGAAGTCGTCTCGGCCACTAGGGGGCAGCACCTCACCACAGACCGGCTGGGGCCGCCTCTTTCCCAGGACTAGGCTGGGGGGGGGCGAGGGCCTGTACAGCCAGGCGGGAGCGCTCACCTGGTACTCACCTGGCCCCAAGCAGAAGCACTCACCTGGCCCCAGCAAGCGGCTGCATGGAGGGGCTGCCACCCGTCGTTGTCCTGGACACTCATGCTGGCTTTGTGTTCGAGCAGCAACTCCGCAGCCTCCAGGTAGCCGTTGGCCGAGGCGATATGCAGCTGCGGGACAGGAAGGGGGGAACAGGGCAGAACTCAGGGGAGGGAGGCAATGTTTCCTCTAAGCTCTGGAGTCTTGTGAGCAAAAATTCTACTTTGTGAGCTACTCGCATT